GATAATGCAGTAATAGTACTGTAATATTATAATAGAGTGCAGAAAATGTACAATATGATTTGCAAATTGACACTGATTACATCAGTTAGTCAGAACTAATCCGAATGTCAACATATGAGCTATAAAGCAAAGAGGATCCAGATGTGAGGAGCTTTAAGCTTTAACAGTGACTCCGCGCCCTCACAGGCAGCCAAGTCAAAGCCAGCAGTCCCACTGCATAGCTTACACCAGGTTTCCTTTCAGCTAATTTAATGCCTTTTATATAATAATGACACCACGTGAAATGACATGAAATGATTCATCACAGTGTGAAAAATGCTGTCAGGTACATAGAAAGGTTACTCTGTAGCAGCTGTGGTTTTGAAAAGGTGATGGAGGCAAAATCTGGAAACAGTCCAGTGTTCCAGTGTGCCAAAGTCTAGCACTTTAAGGGCTTAATGCTTGTGTAATCTTTCAGAATATAGTTTGTTATCGGTGATAATCAGTGATTACTGAGCCTTCGAGGAATGGGAAACGAGCACATGTGTACTTACTCCAGAGCCGGGCTCTCCCTCTTCACCAGAAAACCATTTAAGCATGGTTACTCTTGGACCTGAAACATCAACACAAAAAGTAAATATTCACAGAGTAACAATGTGTCCTCTTTCAGTTCTCTTCAGTGTGTTACAAGAAGAAAATCTGCATGTATTATTCATCACATCTTACGGCACACACCTCTACATCCCATCCCATCTTTTTTCACTGCTATGGTGAATATTCATATTCAACAATTTGCTCAGTGTAAGTACAAATACTCCCAAGAGGCAGTTTTGTTTTGGTTTTTTATCTTGGTTCTGTATAACGGCAATGAACAGATATTTGTACCATGGTCACCTCGGGCACACCGCTCTGATGGTGAGCCTAAAAGCCCCACCCACCTGCTGTTCAAACTTCTGTTTACAAAGAGTAGAAGAAGAAGGGGTGAACGGGAAGGAGAAGTATATCTTGTTTCAGATAGGATAAAATGAGGGCCTGCATTAAGGCTCAGCAGAAGCTAAATAATGCTTAGATGGAACTGTGAATCATCCAAAGCAATATGCTGGGATAATTATCTCATTTCTTTCATATCAGCAAGGATTTTGGCATCCAACAACTCTCAAAACAAAACAGTCTAATGAGGATAAAACCATTTCTTTGCATTCACTCGTCACCTCTCTTACAGTGGTGCACTTTTGCCTCTTCAGACTCACTTTTGTTTAGTTCAGGATGAGCCAGGGTGACTCAAAGTCAGCCTTTGTTCAGGAAGGACTACGTGGAAGAAGTACAAGTCATAAGATTTCACTAAGTAAACCTTTAGAAGAACTATTAAAGCCTTGTGGTGATGCAAGTGAGTCAGCTGCTGCCTAGGGTGTGGAGATGGTTGCCCTTATGAAACGGGCTTTATGTCAGAAACGCCATTTAATCTGAGCCTAAAGTTCCCTAAAAAAATGTTTATAATTGACAACAAAAGCCTATAATAATGTAAATGAATTAGAAGGTCAGCGGTCACAGCATTACAGGCAACACAAGACTGTGCTCGCAATGTCCGCTCTTAAAATATTTACTAGCACTCTAGAATATCAGATTGACTGAGGAGTGCAGGAAGGTTTTCAGGTCACCTGAGCTAACAGGATAAAGCTATGCCAAGTCAGACAAGGGGCTGTTTGGATGGTGACCAAGGATAGATTTAAATATAACTGTAAAGACTTTCTAACTTTCCAAAAGGCCATCAGCTGATTTGGAGCAACAAAAGGCATGTCCTTCCTTAAACTCAGACCGACAGGTGTTGATCTTCCACTCAAACCACTGCAAGACTAAATGTAGGCTTAAACTGACCACGACTCGAGGCCCTGTGCTTCACATAGGGCACCAACAGGGTGCATGATCAGCCAAATTCATTCAGCTCGCTGAACCGTCCAACCCACGTGACGCAAGGTGGAAATATCAGGTCAAACTGGTTTTCCGATTCATGCCACAGTGTAGCTTTTCATGAATTTCAGGACTTTTTTAGGTTTCTGCGAATTATACCTACAAACACAAGTTTCAAGCAACAATGAGCCACAAGCAAGAAGAACAACTGAAGTCTGCATGAAGTCTATAACGCAGAATCATTCCCGGTCAGACTGGGAATGTGTGGTATTTTATCCTTAAATCCTCCTAGTGTGCCTAATATATGGAAATTAGGAGCACGGTTTAAGCTACTGCAGGCAAACATTGTTGAAACACAAGTTCGCGTTTATATGGTAATTATACACACACTAAATTCATAATAGAATCGCCATGTTACAGGAGGAAAAATAAGAAATGTAGCGTCTCTAACGTTTGCTCGACATTAGCCGAGCTTGAGTTAGCAACCGGGATCAGCAATTCTTACAACTGACCGTCCCGTACCACAAGTCATCCGACCTCATAACGCTTCGCACTTCGTTCAGCAGCAGGTCTTTAGGGGCTGCCCCGTGCAGGTCGGTCGGGTTTTTTTTTTTAAATGACCAGTTATAGCTAACGCTAATCCAACCAGCTAACTTAATCTTGTCAGCTATGCAGCTACATGCTAACATAGTTAGCTCTAAATTTCATCTTGGCCGCACGAGAAATTCGCTATGTCATGCGTCTTACACCCGGTAAAACATTACTTTCAACAGCTCACCGGGTTCACAAAGTCATGAAGAATCCACTTCAAAGATCGCCACGTTAAACAAATCCTGCAATATTACATTTTTATTCTTCTTGACGACTAAAGTGAAACGGGACAGATTGCTCACGTTTGTCAATAGACAATTGGGATGACAATGCGCATGCGCATTTCTGTTATCTTTGCGGGAGTCCGGAGGGTACCCATCTGTGTATAATTATTAACGAGTTACACATTGCATATAAAAATAATGTATTTGTCCACAATAAAGGAGTTAAGTCTTCCATTAGCTAAACATTTAAATTTAAACACTGGAATAGGCATGCTGTACTCTCCAATCCTTATCAAAGAGAAACCAGCGACCAAGAGAATAATCGTCATACCATTTCCGCTTTCGTTTAAACGGCCCTTTGCTGAACCCTAATTTTGTTGGCAAACAGTGTGTCACCACAATAGTTTTATCAAGCACCACTTTCAATCTGATATTTCTTTTTTTCTCCTTTTTTAAACGATAAAAACTAAAATGACTCTTTGCTTTCTCTAAGTATTTCAACAGATTTCTTTTTGTATTTCAAGAAATCAAAACAACAAAATTCAAATTGTCATCACCTTGCCTTTCTCCCCCCAACCGCTCAACCTTGGTATTCACGTGGTTTGGAGAAAAAGCAAGAGAGGTAAGGTTAGGGTGGTTTGGTGCAGAGGAGTAATAGTGGACATACTGGACAAAGGATGGCGCAACTAGTTAAGAAGAAATAAGGAAGACCAAAGAGAAGATTCATGGATATAGCAAAGAAGGACATGCAGAGGTTTGGTATGACAAAAGAGGAGGGACAGGATATGTTGGCAGGATATCCACTATGGCAACCCTTAAAGGGAGCGTGTTGTTAATAATCATTTTTTGGTTTTTTGCGACTAACAGTAAGAACAATACGTTTACATTACATATAAACATACATATAATGTAGGCAGTATGCTGTAACGTATCCAATGCTACATACAACTGGCTATTTTAAAAATGACCACAGAGGTGTGCAACCTTTTTAATCTGCTTAACTCTGCATTTATCAGTAAAACTCTTTTGGCTATTAACCATTGGTTACAAATTGAGTACAAACACACACATGTACACAGCGTAGATGTGTACAAACTGCTGACCTGAGTGAGTAACTAGTACAGTATGAAAAACGAAGAAAATGCAACATGATGTAAAAAAAAAATATATATATATATAGATAGATAGATAGTTTGATGGCACCAGGTGCAAACTAATCTCCTGTCCTGTCCTATGTCCTCCCACATGTACAGTATGTAGTGTAATTTGTACATAAAGTGACAAATCCACAGATAATTATACCAGTTTTAGTATCTCTCAGCTCCTTGTTTTGGTTAGTTTTTTACCGTATTGCCTGGTTTCATCAGAAAGTTTATTTTAGTCTCTCTTGCCAAATGATAAAATGGCAGAAATACAACTTGCTGTGAACAAAATATGTTTTATTTTGCTGTAAAAGGGCAAAAGAAGTTGTTGTAATAAGTTTAAATGGATACATTATTACACGTGACAAAGATTCCAAGTGCAACAAAGAAACAAAAGTCATGCTCACATTCAGTGTTACGCTGCCTCCTTTGGCACACTCCTGCATGACATAATACAGTGTTATTGTTATCTGTTATTGTCTTTTCTTTAATAATGTTCTTAGACTTTCTGGCAGCACTCTTAGGTGGGAAAAGTTGCATCTGAACAAACTAGAAGACTTCCAGAATGTCCTTTACATATATGACACTAAAATGGACAAGTTTAACCATAACATACCTCACCGAAGAAGAAACAGCACAGCAGAAACAGTCTATACCAACTGTCAAGCACACAGTGGTGGAGGGGTGATGATTTGAGCTTGGATCACTTGCAGTCATGGAAAACTCTGTGTTCCAAAGTGTTCTAGTGTCAAATGTGAGGCCATCTATCCAAGAGCTAAAGCTTGGCTAAAACTGGGTCATACAACAGAACACGGATCCAAGCACACCAGCACATAAAGGCTAAAAAAGAAGGTGTCAAAGTTTTGACTCAGCACAGTTAAAATTCAGACCTCAGTCTGAGTGAACTGCTGTGCATAAATTATTTACTTGCAAACCTCAATCAACACTATTGTAAAGAAGTGTTGGTCAAAATCCCTCAACAGAGAATGGATAGATTGATAAATTCACACAGTGAATAATTCCTTGAAGTTATTGCTGTGAAAAGAAGACCCGCCTGTGCCTCAATTTTATTCTGCAACCTAGACATCCACATTACTCACACTCTCACATAACACATACATATAGGGCCTTGGGGGTGGGCACATTTTACAGCATCCAGAGGATGGTCGGTGTATTCCAACCCACCTCTGGCGCTGGTGCCCTACCCTCAATTTTAAATGCATATAGACACTGAGGGTTTTTGGGAGGAGCCGTGCTGCTCTCTGATAGGAAGCAGGAACCATGCTCTCCTGTGTTTTAAATGCACTTTAGAACAGCACACAGCAACACTACATATGAGTGGGCGGGAAAAAAAAAGAAAAGAAGACCCGCAGGCTAACAATGACTCTATATCTCTACAGAGTCCTATCAGAAATGTCTTTTTCACATGACTGTAAGTATCTTTCATTACATTACTCTGATGATTGAACACTACCAACAGAAGAGGTTCATGTATAATGTCCAAATCAAGAGTATACAGCCTCAGGGAGATGAACGTGGAGACAAAGGCAAACTTTTAAAGCTCAGGTATGTAGATAGCACCACTCTGTCGGCCTCCAAATACATCATGTGGCTGATTCCAGTCTGCCGCAGTTCTGAATGACCCAGCCGGTGGCGTTGACATCAAGCTTCAGTAGATCCATGACCCATTCGTCCTTCTGAGCTCCCTCCATGAACTCCAACAAGGTTATCTCACATGTTGGGCACAAAAACACGATCCACACTGTTGACTTTATACCACGGCTTCTATGATGTTTGGGGAAAAGTCACATTTTTGCAGTGTTACACCATTACAGGCAATTTTACATTAAATAATCAAAATGTAACTGAGTTGCAGCTTTAATTCAAGGGGTCTTATTTTATTTATTTTTTTTGCATTAAATGTTTAAGAATTACAGCTTTTTCTAGAAACAGTGCCCCAGTTTAAAGGCTCAAAATGAATGGGACAATTGACCGACAACCACTTTCATGACCAGGTACGGTCTGCCTCCTTGCTATTTAATGACAAATGAAGCAGACATGATATCTGAAGTTGAATCAAAAAGTAAAATCTGTATTTTATTTGAATTTATAAGAATGAGTGCACAGCTCAGGAATAAAAACTGAAAGAGGGCAAGGAGAGTGCACGATGGCAGAATTATTTCTAGTTAAGAAGAACAACTTCACAACAACTGCTGAAACAATAAAATGTTCTGACATAAAAACAGATTTTAGTTACTAAAAACAAGCTTATTAAGGGTGGATCCACGTCAGACTCTATTACTGTCTGAGTCACCACCACAGATCCATCAGCGAGCCATGTTCTCTCGTTGCTAATGTTCAGTGTCTGTCACCTACAGTTTGTCCTGTCAGGTTAGAGCTGAATACTCAGATTTCAATATCTAATATAAATTATGGCAGTATAAAGAAATGTACATATTTTTTAATCAGATCTTTATTCTGTCTATGACAGTGACAGAGTGAACAAAGCTCATTTAAAAATCCTTGCTTTATATGGCCCACAATGATGCATTCATATTACACAGTCCACTGCATGAAGATTGAAGCTCTGCTCTTTTTGCCACAGTGAATCCAAGTATCAGAGCTCCAGTGATGACGATATACTCAGAGATGATTAAAGAGGCTCTCAGAAGAAGCTCCAAGACTCCATCACCTCAGAGTTTATGATTAGATTCATATTTTACTACACCTGCTTCCTCCTTAGAAGAGACAACTGGAACATCTAAATACTTAAAACTAAAAGTGGGTAGTTAACGATAAACTCGTATTAGGTTGTGGTGATTTACTATTTTGGATGCATTGAAATGAAAACAGAACATATATGAAGTCAGTATAGGAACAAACTACAGTGACATGAGACCATGAGACATGTTACGTCTCATGTCTAAGATATTCAGAACAATCACAGCATATTCACAACATAGTGCAGTGGTTTACACTCACCATCATTATTCTGGTCAACCAGCTGGAAGATTCGGTCACAGATTTGGGATGGAGTCATGCTTATGTGAGTCTTGTGGAGTTTGATTTTGTAAAGAATCTGCATGAGACACATGAAATGATGATCAAGCACACTCACATTCAATTTAGATCTAATCTCCTAAATATACAGTGTGTTGTCCTCCAATATGCTGACAGGAAAGTTTATTCTGTTCTGACAGGGTCGACTCTGCCAAAGTTTTGTTTCTTTGTGATTTGCTAAATATGATGCATAGCTGAAAAAAGATCCAGGTGCAGATAGCATATTGTGTTGTGGTCTGACACACACACACACACACACACACACACACACACACACACACGCACACAAACACTAAAAAAGGCTAGCTGTATACACACTTGGTCTGTTTGCTCACAAATAAGATTGTTTTAACATCAGTTAACAAACTAATGACTTAGAATTACTAAGATTTGTTATTTCAAGAAGAAAACAATAAAAAGTGTTTAAAGTTTTCTTTTACCATAAATGATCAGCATTTATGTCTCCAAATTTAGAAGCTTCTAGTAAATTACAACAGCAGCCTCCCAGAATGGCCTCATTATGTGTTCATCTAATGTCCCGTGAGGCTGCATTACATGACCCCTGGGCCTAATCTGGTGCACAGGAGTAGTACTTTAAGCTGTCTTGAAAAGATCTGTGTTATGAAACCAGGTAACTTCTCACAGTTAAGACAGATTACACACAGATGATCCTCCTTTTCTACAAATCTTCACTCTTAACATACTGTTCAAAATGAAAAGAAAACTTTGAATCACACAGTTTATCTTACCCTGACAAGCCGTTTCACCTCCGTCCTGTCCAGCCTGCCGTTTCCATCACTGTCATACATCTTGAAGGACCACTTGAGCCGATCTTCAAGATTACCTCATAAGATCAAGTGAAGTGCTGCCACATACTCGAGGAAATCCAGTGTGTTATCCTGTTTAAAAATAACAAAAAGGTACATTTACAGTGAAGTTGTACATTTATTTTTACAAAGACAAATTGTTCTGTCTTTTTACCTTGTTTGTGTCGAACGAGTTGAATATTGTTTCTATGAAAAGGGACTCCTCTACAGAGCTGCTTGGAACTCCAAAGATCTTCTTGAACTCATGCAGGTGCAGGGCACCGCTCGGACACTCCTTCATGAAAATGACACACAGCTCATGAATCCTTGCCAAGTCCATCTCCTCATTGTGACTTTCTTCTTGTCCCATGGCCTCTGCCAGCTTGAAGGAAAAAACCCCAAGTGTGTTTGTATGGAAGTTCTGCAGAAATGACTGCAAGGCGTCTGCTTGCACAGTCAAACTGAAGAGCTTTGGACTGCTGCTTAGCCTCGCTCTCACTAACCTGACAGGGCGTGGCAGGTTAGTGACACGTTAATCTTTTAATTTGCTAATCTCTTGACTTTTAATCAGCAACATCTTGTTATAACACGTCTGAAAGTTTGGCATTGCATGTCATCAATGTGCCAACAGCAGTGAATACTGTGGTGTCTACTTAATGGTAACTTAGGTGGTTAATTAAACCAGCTCTCTTTGATATTAGCAGCCTGTCTGTCATTAGATATGTGCTGCAGCAGAAAGAAACATGGCACTCAAAGAACTGTAAATAGAAATTCTGTAACAGCAGGGAGATAACTCATGGTGAAGGGGTGGGGTTAAATAAGTGTCACTTCTTCCCACTCCTTTTCCATATGTAACTGAATCTGAACAGGTGAAGTAATGTTCGAATGCCCATCCATCCATCCATCTTCTTCTTGACCACTTCTCTGGGGCCGGGTCGCGGGGGCAGCAGCCTAAGCAGAGAAGCCCAGACCTCCCTCTCCCCAGCCACTTTGTCCAGCTTGTCCAGGGGGAACACCAAGGCGTTCCTAGGCCAGCCAAGAGATATAATCTCTCAAGCATGTCCTGTGCCTCCTCCTGGTGGGACATGCCTGGAATAGCTCACCCAGGAGGCATCCTTATCACATGCCCTGACCACCTCAACTGGCTCCTTTTGATGTGGAGGAGCAGCGGCTCTACTCTGAGCCCCTCCTGGATTGCTAAACTCCTCACCCTATCCCTATCTCTTACCTTACCTTATTGTGGTGGAGGGTTTTCTGTGTCCCAGGGATCCCAGGGGCTATGTTGTCCGGGGGCTTTTGCCCCTTGGTAGGTTCTCCCATGGCAAAGACATTGCTCATGACAAAGAGCGATTCAGAAGACCCCTCTGAGTGAAAGGCTAAGTTCACCCTGCCTGGGATATGGTTACCGGAGCGCCAGCCTGGAGCCAGGCCCAGGGAGGGTGCCCGAGGGCAACAGTCTGGTGGCCGGGCCTAAGTCCATGGGGTCCGGCTGGGCGCAGCCCAAAAAAGGTACATGGGCCCATCCTCCTGTAGGCCCACCACCCGCAGGAGGCGCCATAGGGGTCAGGTGCATTGTGTGCCGAGCGCGGCCAGGAGCGGAGGCCCTGGTGGACTGATCCCCGGCTGCCGAGGCTAGCAATTGGGAAATGTTGAAATGTATTAACTTTATTTTGTGTTGCATTGTTTTCTTCTTTTCGTTGCTAAATGAACTTCTGTATCTTGTTCACGTGTTTTGTAATGTTACATGAAGGCTGTTACCTTGACTGTGACATCTACATGTACATCGATGTCCCCGCTGCACATTATAAATAATACGTTTAAGGCACTTTCAATGATTTCACATATCCAGTTTCCCTGATACGTCATGTCTCAAGTCCAGCTGATGCTATAAGACCTATAGATGATGGGTTTCTTTGCGGTGGTTGTGGCAGGAGGTCATCTACTAATAACAATGATGATGGTTCGATCGCTGGCTGCTCCAGTCTGTATGCCACAGTATCCAGAGGTTGGTCGAGTATCCAAAAATTGTACTCAAGTAAGAGTAGCATTACATTAAAATATTAGTCTTCAAAAAAGTTACTCAAATAAGAGTAAAAAAGTACTTGGTGAAAAGACTAATCAAGTAGTGAGTAAAAGGTTATAATGTCCTCTGACAGTATCCTTGGGCAAGATACTGAACACCGACCGGCTGCTGATGTGTTTGTCAGAGTGTGAATGTCATTTAGAGGGCTTAGAAAAAAGTGTTTGCATGACTGTGTGTGAATGAGACATGTTGTATAGAGGACACTGAAGTAGAGCAGCATTATATAAGAATGAGTCCATTTACCATTTCTAGAAATAGTGTTGTTTGCTCCTCACTCCACCAACACAATAATGTGACAATAATGTCCTTTTGAGCACTCAAACAAAAGTTATTGTTCTCCTCTCATAGCTACATCTCAGCAAGACTTACTTCTTGAAGGGCTTTGACGCTACCATGTAGTCAAATGGACTAAAGATGGTGGAACATGATGAGGCTACCCTGAAATATTTATGAAAAGATGACCTCTTTTGTCATTTTTCTCACTTCTACACATTTATGTCAATTTATTATTTACAACCAATGCATGTTTAATACAAATAAACTGGACATGTCAACTCACAGGCCAGTGCCAAAATATTAGGCTTACCTGACAGGCACAGACCTCTCAGTTCAGTTTTGATTTCCCAGGGGAGTGCTCGTCTACACAGACTAAAAGCTTTTGAGTGTCTACGTTCTCTACTGACAAAATAAACATGCCTGAAAAAAACATATAAGAACATGTAATCATAACTGGATTATTACATATGCCAGTGTTCTTCTGGGACTGGCTAATATGTGCTTTAAAGCAGTTTGAGTGCTCCAGTAGAATAAAAAAGCACTGCGTAAAAACTAGTCCAATTCATTTATTATGAAGACATTTACATTAACTTTCAACATTCAGTTAAACCTTCAGCAAGCTATGATTATTATTCTGCTGTCATAAATTCTGTTTATAAACATTTTTTACTTGCATGTATGAACAGCATAGATAGATAGATAGATAGATAGATAGATAGATAGATAGATAGATAGATAGATAGATAGATAGATAGATAGATAGATAGATAGATAGATAGATAGATAGATAGATAGATAGATAGATAGATAGATAGATAGATAGATAGATAGATTCCTCTGAGGTCAAGGGAAAGCTTCTGGTCATAAAAACATAATATCAAAAAAATGCCATAAATAGTTTTTAATTCTCAAACATTTTATGAAATACACTCAAATACCAGGTCTCCTCAGCACACTTGCAAATAGTTTTTGATGAGTGGCAGTTAGGCTGTTCAACATCTTGAAGAACTTTTCTTCTTGTCAGCCTCTTCAGTCTCTTCGTGTGATCTCTCACTGGCTCTATGAAGCTGAGATCAGATTGGTTCGCCACTGGCAGGATGCTCGGGTTCGTTCCCATGGGCAACAGGTTTAGTGGCAAAATGTTTGCGACCCATGTGTAGCAGGGATTAGTTATCGGCTGTTATACACTTAAGCCTAACATGTCTTATTTCACAAATCTTAACATGGATTCAGTTGTTTTTCTTCACATTAATCTACACAAAGTCCTCAGCAAAGACAAATCTGTGGATTTATTAGCAGTAGGCTGTTAAATGTTAAATAGGGTCCTTTAAATTCAGTGCAAGTTTGCTTGATTTTGTTTTGATAGTTTACAGATCTAAGGTTCCACTGTTTCCTTTCTCCATTTACAGTAGAGTTACAGAGGCTCCATATGACCCTGAGACTGCCAAGCTCAGAGGATGCTCCTCATCCTCTACATTAGGAACCACAGAGATGTTCCAAACATTCACACATGTCTGCTGGTGGGTTTAGACGACGCCAAACTGAGCCAGGTCGCTCAGCTCCATGTCACCAAAGGCCTCCCAGGGACAGACCACTGCAGAGTCTGCAAGGTAAGAAAAATAAAAGCCAAGCATAAGATTTAAACATAAAACAGCTTCATAATAAACATAATAATCACACTCACCTCCAGGCTCCTCCATCCCTGGGACATCATTGTCAAAGCTATTGGAAAGGCAGATGGAAAGTATTCAAAGAAAGTACAAGAAACTGATGTATAAGTGTAAATAATTACTCAACTCACCCCTTCTGTCCAGGTTTGGGAGCTTTGCTCTTAAACTGCCGAGATCCCTTCTGCTTGAACTTAGGAGGAGCAGGCTTGGAGCCCTCCGCTGGCTCGGCTGCTGTTGCATTCATCTTTAAAAAGTTCAAACACGAAAATAGTTTTATCTCTTTTTTTACGACTTCTGTATGCTAATAGTCTCTATTCCAAAACTAAAGTCAAAGGTCAGCTATGACCCATGATCGTGAATCAGCATGCAGCACCCAGGGATCAAAACGTGCCATCAAGTAAAACCTGTTTCAATTTTCAAAGGTGAGACTGAGCACATTTAGCTCCTGATCAGGCCTCATCGCTCCCTCATACTTATGTAAATGGCACAATAAATACAGAGGATTGTTTTCCACCCTCACATCAGTCATTTATTTCACGAGGAACCTTCTGTACCTACTGGCAGTGACCAGCTTGGACGACAGAGCACTTTCCAGCCTAATGATATCTCCAAATCAAACACCATAGCAGGTCCCTCCACCGTTCAGTAAATCTGTGACTTGTATTATTCTTCAGTCACCGACACTGCTCCAGCCACAGCATGTCAGTATCAGCAATGCTGCTGCACTGCCTCTCAGATATTTATACAACGATGTGTAGAGTATAACTGGACTATCATTCACTGTTCTTTAAGTCGTTGCATGAAGTCTTGTTCTGAATTTTTAACACTTTCAAGAGTTATTTTACATCAACGTGAGGATTTATGAGTGTAATCTGAAGTTACATTTTAACACATCTAAAAGAATAAACGCACACTCTTCTACACACAGTTAAACCAGGAAAAGCTTTCAAGATGTTAAAAAGTACTTTCATAGAAAGGTTTTTGCTACAGTGCGTGCTCATGTTTGCTGCCAGCTCTTACCCTGTTTCAGAAGAAGAAGAAAGAAGTGCGGTCTCAGTCATGCAGCCACTCTCCTCACAGCATTTATATACTGGCTGTGGTCATAACAAAGCTGTAAATAGAGCTGCGATGGTTTTTTTGAAGGATAATCTCATAATCCTGAGCCGTGTGTACCTGTGCTGCAATGCCCACTGTCCATGCCAAAACCTTCTGTGGGTGTTCACTAAACAGGAAGCATTTCGGGTCATCATGAACTAAGGGCTCATCGGTTGTGTTTGTGGAAGGAGGACAAATCTGCACAGGATGCTGGATAAATAAACCCAAAGAACAACACATCTGTTTAAGGCATGGGGCCACAGGGCAAAACATTCACTCTTAATCAGTGTGCTGCTTATCATCATTAGACTGAAATGCTCAGAGAAAGCAAAAATGTAAGAATACACTGAGCTAACACCTGAAGACAAAATCGGGTTAGCCTCCATTCCCAGAGGGTCTGTGACGATCAATTATTCTGTTAATGAAGCGAGTCCGACTCTGTTCTGCAAACCTCATTGAAAACTGAAATCACACTAGGATGCATCATCATAACCCTAAATACTTGAACATTACGTAACACAAATGAGATATTTCAGAGCCGTTTAGCTCACTCGTTATTTTCAACCAAAAACCTCCAATTTCTTTTGTGTTGTTTGTTTTTTCAGAAGCCCATCGAGGGTCCTCAGGCAGCAGGGCCATGTGAGGACTGCAGGGACACTTGCAGCATATGGAGGGAGCTGGTAAGTGTTAAAGTGGATTACTCTTAATCCCCTGAACTAAATCCACATACTGTACACTTACACAACATGTTAACTAACCAGCAACAAATACTTCATGATCAAAAAGAAATTAATTTACAAATTCAGTCAAATCTGAAATCAGCCAGAAATGCGAACCAGATCAATCCGCTGGTTAAGAGCTGAACACTAAACAAATGTAGTTTGTGGTTTTTTAATAAATACAAATGGATGCTGTGGTCAAATAATTTGCATAATAATTGAATTGATGGAGAGGACTCTCGTTGCTTTGATTGATTTGTTTTGTTGTGATTTGGTTCTTTATAAATAATTTGAATAGAATTTAAAAAATTATCCACAGCAACAAAGCATTATTTGTTTCCTTTCTTTACATAATCAGCTTAAAAACAGGCCGGAGAAATAACACAACGCTATGATCCATGTAATGAGGTCTAATTAGGAAGTGAAGTAAAATAGCTGCATTTACAAGCCTGACAGCAGGTTGTTACACCAAAAGTCTGAGTAATCATTATACATGTTGATGAAAGACAAAGAAAACTGTCACCAAGCAAGCTCTCAGCCATCAACTACATTCACCTCAGCAACAGGTAAATAAAGAGCAGAAGCTCCATTTTAATCCAGGAGGCTGAGAAAATAAACGTGTGTCAGTCAGTTTAAAGATCGTAGACAGAATAAAATGAATTTTTGAAGCTGGACTCTTACCTATTTTTACCTTTAGACTCATGATATGAAGGATCATACCTACACTGCCAAATGTATTCACTCATCTGCCTTCACACGGATATGAACCTGAGTGACATTGCTTTCACAGTCTGCAGGGTTTAATATGATGTCTTTATGGACGTTGCCTCGTGCACCGGTGTGCAGTCATGTCGGTACAGGAAGGGGCCATCCCCAAACTACTCCCACAAAGCTGGGAGCTGAAATTGTTCAAATTGTCTCAGTATGCAGAAGCATTAAGAGTTCCTTTCAGTAGAACCAAGGAGCCGAGTCCTGAAAAACACCCGCACACCATAACCCCCCCTCCACCAACCTTTACACTCGGTCAGACTAGTACCGCTCTCCTGGAAACCTTCAAACTCCTCCAATGGACTGCCAGATAGAGACGTGTGATTCGTCACTCCAGAGAACACGCCTCCACTGCTCTACAGTCCAGTGGTGACATGCTTTGCACCACTGCATCCAACAATGAGTGAAATTCAGGTCAAATGGAAAATGAATTCATGAACTGAGCTGAGCTGAACTCTGAAACGATCATTCTACAACGGACCGTGGATGGAAACGTATAAAAGCTGTAAGGAGAGTCTGTGTTCAGGAGGATACGAGTGGCAGGCTTTCCTGCTGACAGCAGAAACTGGGACCATTTCTTGAGAGGTTTTGTGGATGTTTATTGACAAGAGTTACAAGGAAAACTTTTCAGAGATTTGTTTGAATAAAACCAAGGAGAATCTAGATCATTTTCATTTTGTACTGCATTTGTACACATGGACGACTCAATATTATTCAAGTTTGAGTCCATAAAACACTGACGTTGAAAAGGGCCACAATACAACACACTGTGCATGCTTGAGCCGATTTACACAAACACACAGGCCTCAGCTAAAGAACCAGCTATAAATTATAGTGTAAGTATAACAAACTCTCTTATTTTGGACGACTGTCTGTGGTATAATTCCACTGCAACAAGTATTAGTGCATTCAGTTCAAAAAGACTTGTGCCTCAGTAGTCAGCACTGCCTCACAGCAAAAGCATCCTGGGTTTAAGCAGCAGGGCTCCTCTGTGTGTGGTTTAGATGTTCTCCTCGTGCTTTCTCAGGTTTCTCCAGCCAATCCCATTTCTCCTGCCATCAAAAACACGCTACAGCAGGGCCGACTGTCGCAAAACAGCCCAAGACTTTCACTTCCTAGTTAAATACAAAACTTACTGTAAAAATCCACTTCATGTGCCAGAGTATGATTTTCAAGAGGAAACAATATCGATTCACTTCAATTTTATGAGAGAAGACAACCGCATCACATTATGACAATGACTTTACATCCCTGAACAGGTTAATGACATTTTTACTGCACGTTTACTGCATGTGTTCCACATTCATTTACATCAGGAGCAAAACAACGAGGAGCGTAAATGAGAAATGTTGAGTTCATGGGAAGTTCCAAAGAATCCTGAACCCACAGTTTCACTTTCAGCTCTACATCAGCAAAACTGAGGGACGGTTCTGCCGCGGCCCTCATTACAAGCATTAACTAAAAATTTAACCGCTCCGAGACTGGGAGCAGGTTCCACAGACACGAACGCTCTGCTCCCGTTCTACTTTTGACATTTCTAAGAGACACAAGTAAAGCAGTCTGAGAGCAACGTGCTCTACTGGGAAAGTATGGTACCATGAGACTTGAACATATGACACTTAGGACAAACAAAAGTCTTAATTCTGGAAAACATGGCTTTGGATTTGCTCTGCCCTGTTTACCTTTGTGCTCTCTAGAAAGACTTTGGTTAATAAATGGTTATTAGATAATTGATTTTTAAGTCTCAAAATTCACGCTGATCTCATGTGATTATCCCCACCATGACTTCACTAATGTCCCACAATTTAGCGGCCAGTTCCTGATCCGTGGCTTTGTCCAAAAGAACCTGAGGCTGACAATCTGCAAAGCACTTTCCTTGCACATTGTCAACATCCGGGCTAGAAGCTACATAGACGGATGTCTGAGCTCCTTCTTCGGGGCTCCTAAACAAGCTTCGGGACAGCAGGTCAAAAAGCGGCCTAACAAACACAGCGATGTGAACGTGCCTCCCCAGATTAGTCCTCACTATGCCCGGAGTTACAGCATTCGCTGTCACTCCGCTGCCCTCCAGGCGACGGGCAAGCTCACAGGTGAACAAAAGGTTGGCTAGTTTGCTGCGACTGTAGGCAAAAGCTTTGTCATACGACTTCTCGCTGCTTAGGTCCTCGAAATTTATGTAACCGTGTTTATAGAGCTTGGAAGAGACCACCACTATGCGGCTAGGAGCTGATCGTTTCAGAAGGTCCAGCAACAAATGGGTGAGCAGGAAATGTCCCAGGTGGTTGACTCCAAACTGCATCTCAAAGCCATCCTCTGTCCTGGTGTAAGGACACTGGTAGATACCGGCATTGTTGATCAGCACATCTAGCCGAGGTTCCTCCTGTTTAACAGCAAAGAGGAGAACAGATTATTTCGTACACGGTTTACTTTTACTACTAGAAACACACTAGATATAAAACAGGTCTGTGGCGCATGTGCACACTGCAGCATAAATGAGCTTCCTCCAAAGAGTGGGTGAGCTCATTCAGGACCAGCTCAGACGACAGCCGCTACATACTTAGAAAACCAGTGACTTATTCCCACACTGCAGAGCTGCTCCCAATTTTAGGATGCCGCCACCTGCCAAATATTTTTCCACCAGGAAGAAATATAAATATTGTTAATTAACAAGCATTCAGTGGTATGTAACCCAGTACTGTGGACTGTCCAGCCAGTCGGGTGACACACTGTATGGATATTCAGCAATGCTGAAGGTTTTCTCCATCTGAGTCTTTTCAGCGTGTCTCAGTTCAGTCCTTTGCATGTTTTGGACTCTTTCACTTCCACAGCTGGTCCACTGTGTTCCATAAGATTTCTTTAATTCAACTTCTGTTGTGTTTTGTGGGTTTTTGCTGTTGAGTTTTCTTGAGTTGCAGTGGGTTTGACCTCTCAGGGCCACTGGCTGGTAGCCTCTTTCTGTTCCAGCATGAGTCTGCACCAGCGCCCAAGGTCTATAAAGGCATGACTGGTGTGGATGAACGTGACTGGTCCACACAGAACCTTGATAAAGCCTAAAGAAAGCCTTTTCCAGAAGAGTGGAGGCTGTTTGAGCTGCAAAGGGTAGAGCAGCTCCATATTAACGTCTTGGGATTTTATATGGAAAGTCAGAAAGGCTCGTTTATGTGTTATGTGTACACGGCCCAACACTTTTGTCCATTTAGTACATGTCAAATAAAACGCGGGTGGCGTGTAATCCCAGGTTTGGGGCTCTGGCGATGACACAAGTAACAAAAACAACTATATCGCTACCTTGATTATGTCTTCACAGAATGCGCGTACAGATGTCAGTGAAGCGAGGTCCAGCTGTTTGACCACCAGCTGTGTACTTTCTGCACCGGTGCCTTGCTGGATGTCCCGAGCTGCCTCCTCAGCCTTGTCCAAGTCTCGGCAGGCCATTATTACACGACCCTGGAGCTTCACAATGCCGGCTGCTGTGGCCTTTCCTATCCCGCTGTTAGCACCGGTCACAATAACCGTCTTTCCCTTCATCATTCTGCGGATTTAAGTTGGTACAGGACTCCAGAGTTCAACTAACCAACCACTGCATCCCCCAAACCAGCAGAAGCCTCAAACTAACAACATGACGGCTTCTTTTGGGGGGATTTTTGCGGTTGGCAAACCAGCTAAAAGGTGCGTCAGCACCACCTACTGGACTGGAGTGTGGCGTGCGCCTACAGGAAGGAAAGAAAAACAAGCATTTAAATTCTTTCTTTATTAAACCTGTCGCGCTCACAGATATCATCAGTTGTTCATAATCCTGTGACATTAGCTTTCTAAGAAAGGCTACGAAAGTAAAAGGAGTCTTAAGCTAATTTATCTAGTAACAAGGAAGGTCGCCGGTTCAATCCCCAGCTCTGTCTGTCCTGGTCGTTGTGTCCTTGGACAAGACACTTCACCCCACCGCTTACTGGTGTTGTCCAGAGGGGCCGATGGTCGCTTCTCTCAGTCTGCCCCAGGGCAGCTGTGGCTGCAACTGTGGTTTGCCTCCACCAGTGTGTGAATGAATAGTGGAATTGTAAAGCGCTTTGAGTGTCTAGAAAACCGCTATATAAATACAATCCATTATTATTATTATTATTATTATTATTATTGTAAAGTTCCTATTAATGCCTTCTTTCCTGATCACAGGCCCAACACTACATGTTGGACAGCTGTTTGTTTGTGTGCTTTTTCTGAGATGAAAGATGTTATTTCTTGTATTTGTGCGTTCCATCACAAACATGTTTTTGAATATTGTATAGATCCCTTCTTGTGTCGTTGACATCCCTTCTTCTGCCACATTTGTTGGATCTGGCTGCTTATAATTCTTTGAACGTGAGCGTTGCAAACTTCCACCTTTGCTTAATGGTTTTTTGTTGTCTGCATTTTCTTTTTTATAAAATTGGTCTTATGGAGATCCCAAGTGCTCCCCTGTCTGTGTACTATTTGGCTGATGATTCCTATTGTTCTCCAAACAGAAAATCTAACCCCACTTGAACAGTATACCTCTTAAGCTTAGCTTGTGCTCTTTTGTAATTAATAATTGTTTCTATTCAGCGGTGCTTTTACTATATCTGCTCTTACCTTGCTACACTGCTCATTCCACCAAGCACTCCTTTGAACCCTGCCCCCCCCTCCTTGTAATTGTTTTTTCTGCAGCCTGTATCCTTTTCAAGCTTTTTGTTAAAAACCTCCACACTTATATTCTCCCTAAGAAGTTCTTCACACCAAGTCTTGCTTAAACTGCTCCACCAAAATTCAATTCGTGCTCTGTGCAACATTTCTTCCTGAATTTCTATACCTACATTAATGTAACCTTAATATAAGGTAAGGGTCGTTATCAGTGTTGCAATATCTTATATTTCTAATGATGTCAATGTTACATTTTTTGTGCTTTCCAGTATTTTGTAAACTACTATATACTCAGCAAGAGCCATTCAGTTCATCACTGCCCATATTCTATCTAACTGACGGCCTGTTCAGGGTCTACCCCTGCAATCTTTAAGAAAGGGGATACTTTTTATTTATAGGCTCGGCTGAGCACAGTTGTGTAATAGCCTGTGGCAGTTCCTACAGTCTGTGATGATCCATTCCTGTATGAACACTAATTACAAATGCATGTGCTTTGCTTTCCGAGTGAGCGCAGCCGTGGCTGTTGGGGTTGAAGATCTGTTCATGGATGAGCCTTTGGGGCCCTCCGGTGGAGCAAAGGCAAACAGTGACACGAGATGATGAAGAAACACGTATTAATAACATAATTAGAGTCATGTGATTGAATACAAACAGTAGTTATAATCAGTGGTATCAGCTTTATTTCAGACACTGGCAGTCAGAAAGAAAGCTACTTATGTCTCCTTCCTTATACACAAGTAATCACGCCACATATTTGACTTGGCAGACTTTTACGCCTTTCTGACAGGACGCCCGAGGGACTTGTGTCTCCTCCACATATTTACACTGTGGAGCCACGAGTGTAAATATTGGCAGTTACACATACAGAGGCATACGAGTGACATTTTTGAGGTCATGTATTTCTTACAGTCTATGTCCTGCAGATGAAAGTGAAATACCAGGGTCAGATATCAGCTATATTGGTGGATATATAAGGTGTTTTTCTACCACATTTTAGAGGAAATGTGGTACATTTGACTCCAGCAGTCATGTGACAGCTTAAGTGTTACATTTTTGATTAGAATGAGCTTTAATAAAAGTCAAATCTCAAAGACAGGAACAAAGGCCTGGCTGGAGAGATGTGATGATGTGTGACAAACTGACTGAAAATACACTCAGGGTGGGAACGAGTTGCAGATCGAAAGGAGTGAGATGAGGTACCAGGTGTGGAAGGAAATACTTTTAAAATAAAACAGGAAATAAATAACATATAAAAGTCCTAATAAAATCCAACATCGTGGCAATAAATTTACATTAAATATGGCACAAACATAAAATGGTATTGTAGACAAAAGATGTAATGTCTCGTCTTCTTCTTCATTTTGTTGCAGTCGCTGGAGTGAACAGCTCCCCCTCTGTTTCTACTCCCTAATGCCAGCGTTATTAAGGTAAACATCGTTGACTGGTAGGTTTGTCTGCTCCGTCTGTGAGGTCACACCGGTCTGCTGGATGAACTGCTGCAAGTTACATTGCCTCAGCTCTTTGTTCAGCTCCTCAATAATCTCCAGTCTGTCCTAGAAGACACAACAGGTATTATATTACCGGAGAACATTGTATCCACGAGCTGATATATCTTACTGTTCTTCAGGGCTGCATCGTTGCCTCCGCTACTAAAAATACAGCAGTGCATCTTTAGTCACACCTTTGCACCAAATGAGACACATTTCAAAAGAATGGAGTGATGACCTGTCCTCCTCCCTCCCTGGAAGGCATTGCAAATGCTCAGTACCATCCCAGAGCCAGAAGCATTATCCAAGACCTGTTTGACCTGCTGCCCTCAGCAGGCACTACAGTCGTCACCAGCTTCTTTCCTAAAACGCTGTTTGGAATCAACTCAAACATCCAAAATCCACATGGCTCTTATGCAACTTTTACAGTCTGCAGTAACATCACTGGTTTAATAACTAAAACTTTCAGCTCAACAGTCAGTTTCTTAACATTATACTGATCAATTAAGACTTTTCCTTCATTTGAGTTAATTAAAGTCCTTAGTTTTTGTTATCAGTGGCTCCACAGAGTACTTCTTAATACATTCGACCAACATACAAACAAATTCCTGGGAGAGTTGTGTCAGAGAGGGAATGTGGTGTAAAAACACATGCCCACATTGAATTTGCAGATTAACCCTTTTGTTTTTTGGTTAACACCAACTACTTTGCAAATGTGTTAATTACTGCTTAAAAGTATTATTTCAGTGCTCTCATTTCCACTGTTTCAGTTTCTGTGTGTGTCTGATCTCACCTTGTTACCGGGTGTGGTGAGGATTATTGGAAAAGTGTGATCCTTTTCAGGCTATTATTCATGCATTCAGAAAAAAGCAGGAGGACGGAGGATTAATGCAAAGACCAACAAAAACCTGTCTGTCAGCTTTAGCCTGCACTTTCCCATTTACAGCGTCTTTTGCCAGTTGGGCGTGTCTGGAAAGTTTCAAGTGTGCAGTGGCCAATTTTTCTCATGTCAGCTATAATATTACGCAGCATTATGTATCATACTTTTCTTTCATTTCATCATCTCATATTAGCTCTATAATGGATCTAGCTAATATGAACCCTGATGTGCTGCTGAAACAAGTCTTACAGTAGTTTTTGTGAGATCAACCCTTCAGTTTAGGTAGAAATGATTGAAGAATTATACCTTTACCCTTTCCTCAGCCGTTTCCATCTCCTGCTGTAACTCAGCCAGTCTTACATCGAGTTCTTCTCCTAGCTGCAGGCGGTTGTGGAGCTCCTGCTTCAGGGACTTCAGGGACTCATCTTGCTGTGCTGTCAGAGAACTTTGCGTTTGGACTCTGACTTGCAGGTCCTCTTCTAGATGTGCAGAACGGGTTTGGAGTGTAGTGATTTCGTAACTTTGATCGTTTATGGATGAATGAATCTGATCCAGGCGCCTGTGCATACCTGTTGATAACAGTGTTAATGGTTTTTGTTTTAGAAATGCAATCTGGAATGCACCAAAAATGTTGGGAATGTAAACAGATATGAGCACATACCTTGTTCTCTTTCCATCTCTGCCTGTAATGCTTTCTCCCAGTCTTCCGTCTGCATCAGCTCTACCTCATTCTGTCTCACTCTCCACTGCAGTTCCTCCAGTTCTTCAGCAAAAGCCAGAGTTACTTCAGGAGATGACCACTTCTGCTCCCATAACTCAGTCTCTCTTTCCAGATCTTGAAGCTGAATCTCCAGATCCTGTAGTCTTCTCTGTTGCTGCAGAATATCCCTAAACACCTCGTCTTTGGGGTAAGAAGGATTTGTCTTCATGGAGTTCACAGGGTCTAGGAAAGATACCGGTGAGGCCCTCAGTTCTGGTGAGGATCTGGGAGATCGAGACCAGTCCTTCTTTGGTTTATTCCTTTTGGGAAGTGTTGAGGGATCCAGACTAAATGTCAGAGCCTTTTGTGGCTCTCTGCGTTTGAGGGGCTCTGGTTCTGAGGGTCTGGAAAGTGGAAGACGTCTCTCGTTGGCGGGGGTGTCTGGACCCTCGCTGAGGCTCGGGCCGGTCCTCCGCAGAACGAACTGGACCTCTGTGGCCAACTGTCCCAGCTGAGCCAGGTGCTGCAGTGGACAATCATCAGCAACCAAGTGTCTCTCATTCCCTCGTAACTTCAAAATGAGAATGTAACGACCTGTCTGACCTGAGCAGGGATACATAAAGGCTTAGTTTTTAACTGATCAACATATTGCTAATAACATGAAATGCAAATATCAGCTGAATGTGGTGCAGAGTGTAATTTACATTTTTTAGTCCTCCTAAAATGTCTGTATGTAATGTTTGTAGTTTGGTGTTCACAACTGCAAACACCAAACTAACACCATTCTGATAACAAAGTAATTCGGTGAGCGTAAAATGAGAATTTTCATTGTTAGTCAGACTGAGAGACTTACCGATTGCTTGTGCGAGAGCTATGACGACATCCTGACAGGAAGTGTTTAGTGATAGGCCACTAACAACTCTGACCACACCCTCCACCCACACCTTCAGCTCCATTGTTCA